CCAGAGCATGTGCTCTGGAGTGCTTTCTCCAGCGCCGCTGAGCCCGCCTGCTCAGGTAAGAAGCCGCCAAGGAGAGCGCGATCACGAACGAACCGAGAATTAAGATTTGTCCAGTTTGTGCGTGCGCTCGTGCCTCCGCAGGGTACCCGACTCGGTGAAGGAATGGCCGCAGTAGCTGCAAGAGTAGGGCTTCTCTCCGGTGTGGATGCGGTAATGGCGCTGGAGCGACGCCAGCCGCGTGAACGTCCCCCCGCACTCCTCGCAGTAGAAGGGTCGCTCCCCGGAGTGAGTCTGCTGGTGTCTTTTCAGCCTGAGCAGCTGGACGAACGCCATGCCGCACTCCTGACACTTGTAGGGCTTGTCCTGCCGGTGGATCACTTTGTGTTTGGAAAGGAGGTTGGGCTTGTCGAAACTTTTGCCGCACGTCGGGCAGGCGTGAGGTTTGTAGTCATCCTCCTCAGACTTCCGGTTTTCAGCGCAAGGCTGGTCGGGGCACTCGACGGCGTGTTGGTTGTGGCGCACGATGGACCAGGGGTTCCTCGCCATGCCGTTTCCCAGGATCACCATGGAGCGCTCTATCTTGTGCACGCTGCGTAGGTGCCTCCAGACATCGGCCGTGCGAATGAAACCCTTGTCACACTCCGGGCATTTGTGCGGCCTGTCACTCGAATGGATGAGCTTGTGCATTCGCAAATTCGCCGCCCGGAAGAACTCTTTGGCGCAGACGGGACATCGGTATGAGTTTTCCACAAGGTGAGTTCGCTTATGTTCCTGCAGCTCGCTCGTACCCTGGAAAGAAGAACCACACTTCTTGCACCGATACGGCAAAGCCTCCTCGGAGACAGGCTCCAGGTCCTCATCAAACACATCAGCAAGAACGGCGTTCATGTTACTGTCACGTAGGCTCCTCCGTGGTTTCTTGGACCGCTCAGAGGAACGCTGCTCTAAGTCTTTATCTTCACACTGCAGGTCAAAGTTGGTACCGGAGGGGACAAACACCCTGGCTGCATTCTCGCCTTGTTTCTGGGAGTAGGTCTCACAGGTTTCTTTGTCTTCACCCCACAGCTCTGCAGGAAGCTCCTGCTTACCTGAAGGTCCAGCAGAGCTGCAAAGAGGACTGCATGTCTGTGAGCAACTCATGTCTACCTCCTCCTGAAAGCTAGATGTGTGGTCCACCTGCTTAGTGCTCTTCCTGGCATAATTTGAATGCTTCTCACCTGTGTCACAAATGTTATTCTCAGAGTCCCAGTCCATCCTCCGAGGCGTGTGCCGTGCTCATCTGCAGCTCACTGATGATGCGTGTTACAAGAGCTTCAGGTCTTTCATGGTAAGTCCATCTCATTTCTCAGCTCTCCTTACAGTCCATCCTAGAAAATAAAACACCCGTTTCATCAGTGACTTTTCTGATACTAACATAAGATAAAGCGAAGGGGTTTTTCTTCTGATTAAAAGAATGGGACAGACCATGTTAGGCAGCAGGAGAAACACAATCATCTACTATCATGTATGTAGAAAATAAATATTCAGCATACAAAATACAGACAGACTGCATTTAAAGCTGTTAAATCCTCTATTGTAGCCCAGCCTTCACTACAAATATAACCTGAGAATTTCCATTTTTAAGTCAACTGAAGATGAGAAATCGCCAGAACTCTGGGGTGCAAACACTTTTGACAAAGTCCTACACCGCAGCTGTCCCTATCACATTATTTTTTTTCCAGGGATTCATGCTTAATTCTTGGTTTCACCTTTCTAAATACAAACTAGGGGCACCGGTCACAAAGTGTTTTCTTGCAGAAACTAGTTAGGTGAAACAACGAGACCCAGAAACTGTGTCAGTCGAGCAGCCAAAACCAGAAGGGATGGAGGGAAGGGGGATCTGGAGAGCTCGGAAGTGCCCCTGGCCTCTCATCCTGACCAGCATTACTGTCACTGTCTTGAGGATATTTGGGGTCCCTGTGCCACCGCCAGCTAGCACCAAGGAAAAGCATGACAAGAGATGTCAAGAAAGCTTACTAGTCGTCTCCCCAGGCTTCAAAGCACAGCTGGTAACCCTCTGCAGCTGGCCCAGTGAACAGCTTCCAGTTCTCTGGGTAAAACTCTCTTTGCAGACCAGCAGAACATAAGCGCAATGGTAACTGCTCAGAAATACCCATCTGAGTCACGGATTTTCTCATGAAGAAGGTGATTCTGTTTACTCTGTACCAAAGCATGGGTTCGCAAGAGGTTTTTCTAGAACTGACAGCAGCTCCACAGGTTCACTCACACGGTTTAAAACTGAGTCTAAGCTCAGCAATTGCATTTTTCCTGTCCAGACAGATACCTTGCCTGCTCCTCTGACTCCCACCTTCTCCTTCACACCCACTTTCCACCCTCCCTTTACCTCCACCGTTCCTTCGCTTCCTCTTAACCGCTTTTGTCCAGCGAAGACTTCTCCGAACGCAAGCACACCCCGAGCCAGGCACCTCTGAAAAAAACTGAGTCTAAGCTCAGCAATTGCATTTTTCCTGTCCAGACAGATACCTTGCCTGCTCCTCTGACTCCCACCTTCTCCTTCACACCCACTTTCCACCCTCCCTTTACCTCCACCGTTCCTTCGCTTCCTCTTAACCGCTTTTGTCCAGCGAAGACTTCTCCGAACGCAAGCACACCCCGAGCCAGGCACCTCTGAAAACGTCCCCATCTCTCTAACGCCACACAACGCCGAAACCGCCACGAATAGCGCCGTGCGTGCTGTGAAAGG